GGTCAGGGCCTACTCACTGCCTGTCTGGGGAGGGGGACAGAGGTGCCAGCAGACCCACTCAGCACAAGATGACTGGTGACGTGGGCCCCACTGGAGATATACGCAAAGTATGGGGAGCATCTGAGCATCTCCTGCTTGAGATGATGCTTGGCCTCCATCTTGAAGGACAGTTAAGGGTTAGAAATGGAAGAGACAAGGGGTTAGGGTGGACCAGGCAGTGCATCAAGAGTGTTTGTGGTGTGCTCTGGGAGGACTGCTCAGGATTGCTGCATGGTGTCATACAGCAGCATGAACTCATCATTCATCTGATCCCCTCTGAAACTATTAAAATTAAAGGGACAGAGAAAATGGCAACTGTAAGGAAAGCTAAGCAGGTTAGGAGACAGCAGGGAAGAAATACCGGGGAAGCTGAGCCCTAGCTCCTTAGGAGAAGGGTAAGGCAGGAGGGCGCAGCCAGAATTGAAGAGAGACCCCGGAATTGAAGGCGCAGGTGTTTCCCGTGCACAATGGTGGACTGCAGTAGGAGAGCAGCAGTTCTCTCTTCTCGTCCTTGTCCAGCTCTGCGGAGCCAGAGAGTGCCCTTCCCTGCCTGCCAGGACTCGGGAGCTCTAGTTCATGGAGGTGGCCTAGCATAGGGGATGCATGCTCTGTGCAGAGGCTCTGCAGCCTCGCTGTGCCCTCGGGCCTCAGACCCTGCAGGCTCCATCTGGAGGACGCTGCCTGGCTCAGGGGAGAGGCCAGTAGACCTCACAGTTGGTGGGCACCCCACAGTGATCAGGTTCTGCTCATTTGCTGTTACCCGTGTCCTGTGGTAAAGCCATGTCCTTTGTCACAAAGCTGTCTTGCTCGAAAATAAGGAAGGTGAGACAAGGGCCCTTGATGGGCGTCTCAGCGTCTCTGTCGTAAATGAGCCGGACAACTGACCCATAGGACGACACTGGCCACAGAGAGACACTGAGAGGAAGCAGCCTGGCATCTTCAGGACTGTGACAGGCCTAGGTCATGGAGAGCTGCAAGTCATTCTGTTTACAAAAGAAGAATAAATCGCTCTGTTGTGGTAGTAATCGGAGTAAAAATGAATTTTGGAAGTTAAAAATTAGGTGGGAATAAATAATTCAGTGAAGGATTGGAAGACAGAATGGAGGAAACCTTTTGAAAAATGAAGGGTGGGGAGAGATGAAAATAGGAGAGGGAAGATCAAAAAAAATTAGCTCCGTCCAATGGGTTTGACCTTCATTAATAGGACTATCAGAGAGAACAAAGGAGGAAATCATCAAACGGGGGACAAGAACATTTTGCAGGACCGCAGGACTCGAGCTTTCAGGTGACAAGATCCCACGCAGTGACGACGGGATTCACGAGAAGCAAAGAAAACCAGACCCACATCAAAAGATCCAAACATAAAAGTTCAAAACAGCTTAGATGCACAACAAAGTGTCGTGAGAGAAAATGCAGATCAAATGCTGGCCTCAGATTTCTGCATTGCAACATTGAGAGCCAGAAGACCGGAGAGCGACACCCATATCGTTTGGAGAGTGAATCATTTTCGGCCTGAGGAGTTCTCAGTGGGCCACAGCACGCTCTGAGCCGGGAGCGAGTGCAGAGTAGGTGGGAAGCCATGTGGGGTCTCCATAGCCCTCCTTCCCTGCCACCTGTTCTCAGGACGCTGCTCAAGCCTGGGCTCCAGGGGGACAAAGAGGTGACATGAGAAAAAGCAGAAGTAGTGAAGGCAGATCCCATAAAGATAATAAGGGGTGGCCCCAGGTGACGGCTGTGGGGCAGGCCAGGAGATCGACCATCCCTCAGTCCTGGGACTGAGTTGTTTGCCTGGTTGTTTGAATGCAGGGAGATTATTTTAAGCGTTGTTTCAAAAGACTTGGGATTGTTCACTGAGAGACGGGGAAAACCAAGCTTGTGGAAAAAAAGCAAAACAACCATAACTACAGAAACAAAACAGAAGTCCTCCAAGAAAAGGAATGCAGCACTGCGTACTGTGGCTCCGCCGTGTGACATCATCACACACACGTGGCCATCGAAGGTCGACTTCAGCGCGCGCGGATCATGGTATAACTATACAGGAAGGGGCAGAAGGTGCATGAGGTGTGGGTACCGTAAGAAGGTTAAATCTTCCATCTTTTATAGCAGAAAGTCAGTGGAAAATGTGGGAGCCAAGGCAACATAGTTCTTGTTATTTAGAAACGGGGAGATGACAGAAGGGACAGGAGTCTATTTTTGTTTGAATAAAATTTCAATTAAAACCATACATATAAATATACCCCCCCAAAATTAAGTGGGCGGTCAGCAGGGTGAGGGTATGGTAGAAGAAAGAGCTGGGGGACAAGGTCAAGTGGCATGGACACAGGAGCCCTTTTCAATTATTCCAGCAGCTCGGTGTTGGGTGAGTTTGAAGCAGAATTTGAGATGAGTCTGCAAGCTGGACCACTGGCCATCCTGGTAACCAATGGCACCACGGTAAATTCTGAGTGCTACAGAAAAAGTTAACCGGATTAACCTTTGTTAACTGAAAATTAATCCTCGCCATCCACCCGTAGCCAGGGCCTTGCCCTCGGAAGGGGCCTCTCTGATCTTCCAGCCCTGGGGACATGGAGGCAGCTGCTGGGGGCTGGGAACACTTCCTTCCACAACAGAAATCGGCCCCCAAGGGGCAGGACCCTTCTTGTTAAGCCCCCAGCAGCTCCCACAAGCTTTCTGGGGAGGATTTAAGCAGAGACACTTCATTGCCCTTTCAAACCGACTCTCAAGTTGCTGTAATTCTTGTGAGTCTCTCACTACATTGTGCTTGAGATAATTGTTTCTCCGATAACTGTGAGTAGTTTTTCGGTAATGCTGAAATTAACTGTTTACTTGTCATATTTCAGGCAAATGAATCCCAAACTGTTCTTCTCCATTTCATTTTAAATCTGAGATTCTCTCCCATCCACTGGACAGACCTTTTAAACGGGCACGCACCTCCAAGTGTCAATCTTTCCATTTTCATTTCCTGGCTGCTTTGAACCTGAGAAAGATATTATCCCTCAGAACACTTATAAATATTCGATTCCGTTGTGTATTGCTCTTCTCTGTATTTCACGCCTCCATCCACCAGGAGTTGATTTTGGAATGTGGTACGGGCATGCGTCTTTTGTTCCAAATGTCTGTACATCTTTTTACAAAACTGCCTTCTCAAAATAATTGTGTAAACAGCCCTTCTCTTTCTCTTATGTGGAGATGCTAAATGCTTCACAGTTTATGCTTTTTATGTATAAATAAGTTTATTTTTCTAGGTTCTGTGCTATTCTTTTGTTTATATCTCTTCTTTTCCCCCCTATTCTTTCTTTGTTTTATTAAAATTTTTAGCAATGATTGCTTGACAGGTGTCTCCAATCTGCCAGGCTGGGCTGGTCCTACAGAGCAC